TGGCTTGGCTTGGCTTGGCTTGGCTTGGCTTGGCTTGGCTTGGGTGTAGGGGTGTGGGTTGGGTGTAGGGTGTGGGTCGGGTCGGTCGGTCGGTCGATCGTTAGGACGGGTTTGGGTTCTTTTCTATCTATATGTCTATGGCGGCGTGTTTCTGCGTAATGCCAAGTTGCTGTGTGGTTTTTTGGAGAGGTCTTGATTGGGGCGTGTTGGTTAAAAGTGCTGCCTTGCATGTTGCAGTATTGGTCCACTTGGGATCAGGCGGATTTTGGATCAGGTACGTTTTTCAACAAAAAACTATTCCACCTCCGGATCTATTTAGTAGATCGTTCAGTGAGTGGCGGTATGGACCAAGATTTCGACCCTGATTCGGACTGTACGGACAGCGGCCTTCGACAGCACACCTAGTCCTCAGTAACATATCTAGGCGTGCCAACGCACTTGTCGCTGCCCCATGAAGTCCGCGCCTATCTATGCACCAACTTGGCATCGACGCCTCGTAATTTAACTTACTCACCCGCGGTGTATCGCCTTTTCGTCATACATTGGAGTCAGTGTGTTTCATCAGTCTGATATGAGATGATAATCTGTATGGAGGGAGAATGCGTGTTATGCTGGTAGAGACAAGTTCCAACAACAGCTGTTCTGTGCGGCAACGATACATCGCGGATTTTTCCCACAGGTATAGCGTACTTCAGTACATGACAGCGAACATGCTCCTGGGGGCCACAAGGTGCTGTATCCATAGATTATACTCCAGTCTGGAGTGTGCGGAAAAAATGGGAATCGGTCCCAATGCACCTTGATCTGTTTGTACGCAAACACAGAGTGTAACTACACATCGGATAATCCTCACCGCTGGTGTCGCCGAGCCAGGCTGCACTGCCATAAAAACGGAGGTACAATAGCAGCAGGCAGGGGAATCCAGAAAGAATCGGTCAACGAATCCGGGTCAGCGGATGGGTCGGCCGCAGGGCCGTTGTTCGGGCATGGGCAAGGAGTGGCCTATACCCTAGTGAAGAAAACAGCGGTGCCCCCAGTAGGGGCGGGAAAAAGAAGCCGGGGAATGGGCATACCAGCATCGAGCGAGAGCTAGCTGCTTTGGGAAGCGTGAGCGCCCCTCTGTATTTGCGGCCATCTCTGCTGAGGGCCTTTCCCTAAACACTCTGGAAAGGAGCAGCACAGCAGCCTTGGCGGCTGTCATGATGAGTGGGAATCACCACACCATGTACGGCTTGTCACGGGCACAGGAGCAGCATCAGCAGCACCAGCATTATGCCCACCCATCCCAACAACACCAGCAGCCGCCCCCTTATAACTACAACAGCAGCGGGAGCAGCAGCAGCCCCACCCCGCCGCCGGTGCACCGCGTGGAGGGTGGGACGCAACAGCTCAATAACGCTACAATAAAGGGAACGCAGCATGAGCCTGGTTCCTCGTCGCCTCAACCAGGAGGTCAGGTCCGGCAATTTGTCGGCAAAACTCGGACATCGTGCGACTTATGCATCCGGCGAAAGAAGGGCTGCGAGTACGTCGAAATCGACGGGAAGAAGCAGCAGTGCAAGTAAGAGGCTGGCTCTGTCCTATGAGGGGTCGGGGGGGTAGGCGAGTGGCGGATCACAAGCTCTGTTATTCATCCGAACAGAAGTCGCGAACATTCATGATGACGTGAAAATTTGTTGGTGTCTTTGAAGCCGGAGAGCGAGAGAGGGAAAGAGCAAGGTTTTGTCTCCCTCACTCTCTCGCTCTCTCTCTCCCTCTTCTCCTCACCGTCGGCGAAGTGATTGATTCTAGTCTGCGACTCCACGTTGTGCGCTCCCTGCATCGCAGAAAAGGCAGAAGGTATCGCCAGCTTTGTTCTGCAACAGAGGGATCAACTACGCATGGTGTTGCTTCATGCAGCAGCACTCGAAGTATTTTTTTTTGCCGACTCCCTACTCAAGATTGTTTTTTTTCACGAACTTGCCGCTGATTACATTATGTACAAAGTCCTATATATTTTTGTTGTGTGGCTAGTTGCTTTTGCAGCAGAAAGATTTGCTGCCGCGGTGATTACTGTTTTCTTGGCGTGCCATTGCTGCATGACTTTTTTTATTTTTTTCTCCCATCATTGGACTCTGACGTCTGGCCCTCTGGCCCCTATCCTCCACTCCTACCAGCTAGACTACCCAACCGGGGTCACATAGGAGGGGGGGGCTGGACCCCCTCCTGCGGTTCCTGCCTGAGGTATTTTTATCGCGAGAAACCCCCACTCCTACTGGGAGATGATAATAACACATATGTGTGTGTCATTTTATTTGACACATAGGGGATGATAACGACTGTCCCCGGGGTTTCCACAGTAGAATTACGGTTCCTATGCAGGTAGTCTGCGCGCACAATATCACAGGTAGAGACGGTACAACGTGCGGGGGAGAGTTTTTTTAATGCTGTGTGTTACCTGACAGCTGGATGGTGTACATACAGCGCGCGCGCGTGTGCGGAGGTTGCAACACCGACGCCCCGCCATATCTTTGGTAAAGCGGTAAATCCACAGCACTCCCTGTGTAGACTATGTATGTATATGTTGTATGTGTATCCTGTGGTCATGGTCGGGCCGATCTCGCCGAGTTTGGGGCCTCGGGAGCCGAAACTTGGTTTCTGTAGGCACAGAAGGCCGTACTTTGTGATTCCTTGCCTTTCGCGACGATCAGGTGCCTGTAGTGCTCTCAGTGCACCCGTCTCTACCTGTGTTATTGTGCGCGCAGACTACCTGCATAGGAACCGTAATTCTACTGTGGAAACCCCGGGGACAGTCGTTATCATCCCCTATGTGTCAAATAAAATGACACACACATATGTGTTATTATCATCTCCCCACTCCTACTAGCTAGACGACCCAACCGGGGTCACATAGGAGCGGGGGGCTGGACCCCCTCCTGCGGTTCCTGCCTGAGGTATTGGTATCGCGAGAAGGGTACAGCAATCCCTTCCCTCGCGACTTACGAAGTCGATAATGGTTTACGAACAATGAGCTTTGCAGCGCGTCGCTTTCATCCTAGACTTGTTCGCTGGTGAAGATAGAACCTGTCTCGCTTGTGAACAGTTCCGAATTACTTGTGAATGCTTTGGGGGCAAGCCGTCGACCTCGGTCAGCAAGAAGTCGTTTGTCTGCACGCGTTGACATCCCGGCCATTGTTCCTCTCTGATTTGCAGTTGTTTTTTCTTGGGCGAACCCGCCCCCTGTCCCTTCATGTCTCTTTCCCTGTGTGCGTTTGAAAAGTTTTGTTGTTTGTCCTTGTTGCACTTGTAAAGCTCCGGGCTTTCTTTGTGCCAAGTGTTTTCGTTATTTGCAACTCTCATCTCCGTATGCATGTGCATGCAGAGCAAATGTAAAACAGGAAGTGTTACATGCCTCCCTCTCAGGTGTTGCTGCTGTTGGTGGTGGTGTCGTTGTCTTCACCCTTCCGACATCCGTGCGGTAGTTGCTGGTCAGACTGACGGGGACGTTGTTGCCCTCTGTATTCACCGGCTCTGTGACTGACCTGTTTTTGCAGACCACTTGTATGAACACTCAAGGCGAATAGATTCATGCCGTGGCGAACACAACTTGAAATTTTGTTAGAAGGCGAGTCGCCATTGTTGTTTTGTCCTTGTACATGACTTCGTACTAATGGATGCCGGCACCTTTTTCGCTGCTGGTGATGCGAGATCAAGGCATGTATCTCTATCTGCCCTCTCCCCAAGGTTTGCTAACTGCACTCCAGTTACTTGCGCCGTTGGTGTTTTTTTTTTTTCGCGGTGCCCTCTCCTCTACGCACGTACATACCGCACAATACCAAGGAAGCTTCGTGGGCCTACATCCGTTTCTTTTTTTCTTTTTTTCATGACCTCCTTGCCTACTCTGCTGTGTTGGGTTCCTTGATCTCGCTTTGCTGTTGCCTTTGTTTTTGTACGTCTGGCTGTCTGCCCATCTGCCGCCTCTCGGTCGGTGCGATACCTGTTTTTTTCTTTCTATCATTTTGTTCTCTTCTTCCGAGTGGTTTGTACCCAATTTTTGTTTTGTTTCCCCGCGGCGTTGCATGTGCCGGGTTTTGAGACCACGGGCTCCCCATTTTTTGTGGACTATAGAGCTATTATACTGTGAGAGAAACAACAACAATACGCATAGCTGACTGCTCTCGAATATCCCTCCAGCGTCGACCTACAGGACTACATCCGTTGAGACGCGGTTCCGTCTACTCTTGCCTTCATTCACACGCATGAACCCTGCAGCTTTGGTCCTCATTCTGTGAAGAGGATGTGGCCCCGCCTCCCCCCAAAACGAGGGCTCTGCTGCTCGACTGGCACACACGAAGACGGAGTGCTGTGGACCGATCCAATCCCAAAGGTGGTCTAGCCTGTGGCGCCCGGATTAAGTGGGACGAAGCCACACGAAACATGCACACCCGATTGAACATATTTCAAATATCATACACACGTACCACATGTTTACCTCCCCCCCCCCCCCCCCCCCCCCCCCCCCCCCCCCCCCCCCCCCCCCCCCCCCCCCCCCCCCCCCCCCCCCCCCCCCC